GGAAAGACCAGGGTTCTAAAAAATCATCAACATCCCTAGAGGCCTTAGATCAGGAGACGTAGCTATAAATCTAGGAGGAAGGAGGAGAATATCAATATCTAAAGCAAATTCCAAACAAAAAGAATTGAAGCCTCAATCTTGAATTTCCAACTTGCTTTTCTTCTTTCCAGTGAACCAATTGGATAATCTTATTGCAACTTTGCTTCTGTTCTCTCAAGAAGACTTATTTTAAAGGAAACTTTATTATTTCCTATCCTAAATAATTTATTAATTTGAAATTCTCCGAGCAAAATCCTTAATTTGATGAGAGTTGGTTTAGCCTCGTAAGAAGGCTTAAAGGTCGGTGCAAGAGATTTTGAGTCGTACGAGGTAAGAGGAACAAGTCTCACGTGTGCCTCTATTAAGTAAGAACTAGAAGTTTTATCACTGTAAGTCAACAACAAGGGAAAAAAGGAAAGAATAATCTTGTAGAGCCTAATCAACCTCAAATAATGTACCGTAAAATCAGAAGACATTCCACTACAAAAGTTTCCAAGAACGAAACTGCTTTCTTTTTGTCACCTTACGCCATTAAGACCTTGGCCTAACAACGTAACACTGCTCTCCTTGTTAAGCAGCCAACAAAACACATTTTTTTTCAGATTGCGGTTTTGCAAAATTTCAAGGAATGTTCTTTTTGCAAATCACATTTTAAATAACATACCGTTTAAAAATGTATGAGTTTTTGCAACATAGAGCGGATAGGAAGTAATGCGTAAAGGCTGTCACAAAATTCAAAAAGTTTACTTAACTATTGATAATGGACCGTACCAGTGAATCAACAATTGTTCTTCAAAGCAAAGTTAGTTGAAAGTCTCAGTTATTTTTTGTGAAAAATACTGACTGCCCAATAACATCAAAAAATTTGAGCAAATATAAGTTTTTACTTAGTTTAGGGCCAGTGAACCGCTAAGAAGATAAATGTCTAAGTAATCTCAACACATTTGAAGCAGCTCTGTACTAGGAAATAGACGTGACTGCTGTGGAATAACGAACACATTTAAAAAACGCAGTTTTGCAACTCTGCTGCAAAGTAGCAGCTTAAATACTTCAGAACCGCAAACGAATTTTTGACGAGGTACGTGTGCGCCAAACGCGTTCTCGCTTGACAACCGTGTATCTGCTCAAAAACGGCTCGTTGACTGAGGCATCGGAGATCAGTGTAGTTGACGCCATCGGAATCAGTTTCTAACTGAAAATAGTTTTCTAAAAAGAAACATTGCAGTGAAAAATAGTTTAATTGTTTAAAAACAGTTTAATTCAAGCTCGCTTGTAAAATGTGCATTTTTTGCTGTTTTCAGAGCGGTGAACAGATTTCCTGCACTTAACTGACTGAAATCTAACTCCGAGGAGTTTTCTTTTGAAACACTGCGAAAGTATTTTAAAACTTGTAATCTAAGTAACTTTTGTGCGATTATTAGTTTTGTCGCACTAATCGCGTTAAATACGCTTTGTGCAAAGGAATCAGACAATGTACTTTTGAATAATTTTTCAGTTTTTAGAGATTCAAGATTTCGCATCTGTAAATCTTTGTACTGTTATGAGCTAAGTTCTAGCAAAAAA